CTTGGCGCTGCCACATGAGCCCTGGGGGTGAGTCCCAGGGTGGCCAGAAGGGCCAGTGCTAGTGAGCTGTAAAACGGGCTGATGCCCGGTAGCCTGGAGGCAATCGAATGAGGCGCCACTGGAGATCGAGGGCTTGGATGGGCACGAACAGGCCACTTGCGTGACAGGGCTCCTGGCTCTTCCCCTCGGCTGCAGCGCGCTGGGCGGCCTCCCTGCAGGGTGGAGGTGGCGGGCAGGCTGGCTTGTCAGCAACATGGCAGCGCCACGTCGCGGAGAGTCCCTAGGCTGGCTTGGCAGGGCTCCTTGTGGGAGGCCCAGCGCTGGCACCGCTGTTGATGGACACTCTGCTTGTCCCAGAGATGCGTCCCCCTGGGGTCCTTGCTGGAGCCTGACTCTGAGCACAGCTGCTGCTGCTGCTCACTTCAGCTGTGCTCTGTGTTGGGACGTGCCTGGTGCTCATGAGGATCCCGCGCCGAGGGAACCTCTCCCCTTTTCCTTCTGCTTCTCCAGAGACCTCGGCAGGATTCCCACGGGTGCTTGCAAGGTCCCCCTTTGGAGGGGCTCCCTTCTCTCTCACTCCCGGGTTGGTGAATTTCGGAGGCACCCTTTCTTGCATTGATCGACTCGTTTGTTCTCTGTGGGCACCACGTTCTCCTAGGACTTGGCTGGAATGGTCTGTAGGCGTCTTCTCCTGGCAACGGGTGGCGCGCTGCTGCCAGCGGGGAGCCTGGCTTGTACTTCAACCCACTTCCACGCCTCTTAAGGCTTGCCCCCCTCTCTCCCAACCCTCTAAGAGCCAGGGGAAAGCTGCCAGCCCCCTGCTAAGAACAGGCGTGAACTTTACACAGAGCGTCGAAAGTTCCTCACCTCGTTCTGCTTCTCTGCTGGCCTCGGTGAACACGTGCGGAGAATTCCCAGGGTGCTTCTGGAACTACAGATCCCCCTTTGTAAAATGGATCTGGACCGGAAGGCTGCCGGGCCCAGAGGAAATACGTTCTGTAGTTCTGAGTCAGACGTCCAGAAGCCTTGGTTTTTTGCTTACAAGTGTCTTATTAAACACAACAGCCATGTTTCCTTATTCCCCTGCTCGGTTAAACCTAAAATGCCAGTTGACCTTTCTGTCTTCCCTTTATGTATTCCCAAGAACAGAGGACGTTTTTAAAACGGCTCCGGCCAGCAATGCTGAGGCCTTCGCCTGGTTTCAGAATGGGCCGGGATCCACTTCTTCATAAACCGGGTCTCGCTCAGTGCGCTTGGCCTCGTTCGCCCGTCTGTCCCTCCGGGGCACGTTCTCCAGCGGTACCGTTGCGGATGTGGGCACCTCCTTTGGTTCAGTGACTCTGGGTTTGCATTGGTGTTCCCATGAGTAGAACGAGGAAAGGACCCCGCCCTGCTTGTGCAAATGATGGTCCCGTAGACTTTCACCTCTTCCTGTACCGCCCTATGATGCTAAAATACTTGCCTCTGCCTGGGCCCGGCCCGGCGCCTTCCCCCCCGGCCAGTCACGCTCGCTGGGAAACCTTTGTGAGCAATGGTTGGTAGCTGAGCAGCATGCGACTAACACACTTGCAAACCCTGTACGCCAGTGTTTCTTAAATTGTGTTCTGTGGTACACGGGTGTGCCGCGAGGCAGTCGGAGGTGTGCTGCGGAGAACAGAATACAAAATGGCCACTCTTAAAGGAGCAGGCGACTTTTTTTTTTTGCCTCGGTAACTTCTCCCTGACTCTCTTCTCCCCCACCCCCACCCCAACAAAAAATTCTTGGTGTTCCTTGGTCTTGAAAAGTGTAAGAAACACTGCTGTACGCCACAGGCCCTCCCCTCTCTCAGCAGGCACCATCCTCTCCCTTTCTTCTCTGGGGAGACTTTAGGTCCCATGGCAGAAAATGACGTTTGTAACATTGATTCAGCCCTGGCGGGCTCTTAGATTGTAGGGTGTGTTACTCCTGCCTCAGGATTTTGTGCTTGCCCTGAGACGAGATGGTATTTACACTGAGCGCAAACGCTTTTGTCCTGCTCCACCAAGGTCCCCCCTCGGAAGGGCGCCTGCGCCTCTAGCCGTTGGAGCAGGATGTCTGCAGTGTCCGAGCCTGTCGATTCTGCCTCTGGCTCTTCGGGCTCCTTTAAGTTCAAGCCCTAGAACCTGCTCCAGCAGCATCTGTCTCCGTTGCGGGTACAAATCGAAGGCACAAGTGAGGGGGCTGTTGGGCCTCGCGCGGTGCTCCGGTTGCCGCGGCTCTGTGCGTGTCAAGTGCCAGGGTGTGGGATAGACCCTCCGTGTGCTGCAGAACCGTCCCCTCGTGGCTGAGGCCTTGCGGCGCCCGGTAGTGTCGTCTGGCTCCCAGTTGGGTCCCATTTGGTTCTGGCACCTCGATGAGGCCCAAGAATGGCTGCGGAGCCTCCGGTGTCCTGCGGGACCGCCCAGGGTTTGTGACACGTGGGCACTGGGGCCTTGGCTGCTCTTCCTGCTGCACAGGCCTCAAGCCCGTCTCCTCCGCAGAGGATCGCAGCTCCTGGGGGGCTCCCTCACTGGAGACAGTGGTGGTGGTGGCAGCCCCTCGAACCCTCTCAGGTGGGGCTGACCTGAAAGCTTCCTCTAGCCCCACAGACGTGAGCCAGAAAACAGCCCTGGCTGGCCAGGGGGGCTCCTTTGAGGGAGAAGGGGGCTGCTTGGCTGGCGTGGGAAAGGGCGCCGGGGGCGGGACTGTCCCCTTGTCCAGCATTCTGCAGAGGGACAGCCCGGCACGAAGGGGTTGGCAGCTGCCTGGCGAGCGGGTGCGTTTGGAAGCGAGATTTATCCGTCGCCTGCCCAGGTCTGGGGGCAGCCAGTTAACCTCTCCTGGGCCCCCTTGAGCAGGACGCGCCAGGAGCTCTGCCGCTGCGGAGCCGGCCCATGAGTGAATGGCGAGAGACCAGTCTCTGGGACCCTCGAGGGCTGGCTCAGGAGCCTTTCCTCCCTGGAGCTGCCCCCCTCCCGGCTCTGCTGTCTCGGGAGGCCTCCCCCGTGGTTCCTGGCCCAGGAGGCTGCTCCACTGACTCTGGCGCAAGCTACGAGCAGGCCTCCTGCAAGCACAGGTCTGCTCAGTCAGAGGCCGATGGGCTGTGGGGCCAGGCCTGCCCGCCCGGCCTGGCGCGTTTCCCCACAGGGACGATCAGGTTCCCGAAGGGACACGCCCCAGCACGGGGCCAGGCCTGGTGACCCTGTCAATCCTGCTCCTTAGCCTCCGTGCCTGGGGCACCAGGGCACCCAGCCCGGTTGGGTTTGCAGGCGTTGGAGAGAGGTTGCCTTTGGGACACCACGGCCCAGAGTGGGCTGGGAGCTGGCTCTGTTCCTGCCGCTGCCTGGCCTTTCCGGAAAT